AAAGTGGGTGGAAGGAGTTGCAGAGTGTAACGTCCCCGTTCACAGGTGGAGAGGTGAATGCCAGCCACGCTGCATTGGCTTCAGCTCACTGCGTTTCCACACACTCCATTCTGTTCACTGTTTTCGTCTCTAACCTTTCCGTTCTGACATGAAACACGGTTTTTCTTTTGTTCCCATTTCATTCTTTATTTTTCACAAATTGAATTTGCCCAAGTGCTTAAATTAATGTGTAGCTTTAAGAAGTAATTATTTCTTCTCCCTTCCGCTGTCAGCGGCATTGACAGAAAACCCAGCTCTGTTCTGGCAAATGAGTGGGCTTGTTAACACTTGCTTTGTTAGGTGGGGAGAGGACACAGGGCTGATTCCTTGAGGGTCACTAATAAACAAAGGCTATTTTAGTTCCCTTGCTGTTAAATGGACTATTCCTTCTTCCAATCAACTCTTGTTTTTATTTCCTCAGCTTTTGGTGAATTTCATGATAATATTCTTTATGAAATTATTTAACTGCTATTAAAGAATTATGTGCCCAAATTCTCTTCAAAAATTAGAGCGCAAGTGTGATTAGAAGGGAATTGTGGTCCTATTGACTTTTTAAAACTAATTACATATGAACATACAAACATTGCATATTAATTGTCTACTCTTTGCAGGACACTGCTCTAGGTAATGGACATGCATGAATGAACAAAACGGAATTACTTCTATCATAATTAAATTTAAGATAATTTCACCAAAGTGTTGGTCAAAAGCATATGGAAGCAATATTGCCAAAAATATAAATATAGAAATAAAAATTTGGGGCACCTGGGTGGCTCAGTCAGTTGGGTGTCCAACTTTGGCTCAGGTCATGATCTCACAACTCGTGGGTTGGAGCCCCACGTCAGACTCTGTGCTGACAGCTCAGAGCCTGGAGCCTCCTTCCAATTCTGTGCCTCCTTCTTTCTCCCTCTCTCTCTCTCTCTCTCTTTGGTCTTCTCCCACTCGTGATCTCTCTCTCAAAAATAAATAAAAATAAAATATTTTTAAAAAATCAAAAAGCCCAAACTTTTCTAACTAGGTTGACTTCAAAAGGTTGGTTTGGGCCTCCATGATGGGAGAAAGGCAGAATACTTGTCCAAGTGATGACTGGGGGAGACTCAGTTCCCTGAGCCACAGTGGGAAGGATGAAGCTTTTTCAATCACAAAATATTACATTATGTTGGCTCACCCAAAGGAGGTTTCAGCTCTTCCAATATTAACTCGACTACTCAGTTAGTGCAGGTGCCATATATGCTCTAGTATTTGGTGAGCTGTCCGTCTGAAGGTTCACCGTTCTCTGAGTTTCCATGGGTATTTCAGTGGGAAACCAAACAAGGCCCCATCAGGAACTGCTAGGTAGATGCCACATGAAACCAGCAATGGCTCATTTTGAGTTAGATTTTCAAAAGCCCATTTATTCTACAAACAATGAAATCCCATTAATTTTTCACACTCCATAGCCTAAAGCTACATGATGAAAAATCTCGCCTTATCTCCGACCTAAGGCAGTATAGATTTTTAAAAAGAACACATTGAATTGTATACTTATTTAAGTTGAGTTAGTTAGGTTTTAGTAATCTCTACATCCAATGTGGGGCTCGAACTCACAACCCCTAGATTGAGAGTTGTATGCTCTTCTGACTGAGCCAGTCAGGTTCCCCTTAGATTTTTTTTTTTAAACAGCGAGAACATCTTATTGTTACATGTGTGTGTTGAAAGGATTAGGGAGAATTATGTTTCCTCCAGATGTTACGGCATCTCTTCATCAGTAGCTGGTTGAAAAATGACTGGGAAGAGGCTCTCTCCCTCATTGTTAAAAGTGGTAGTATTGCTGGACAAAAAGAACAAAGGACAAGGGTAAAGGTAGAGCAGAAAGTCCTTACATGACAGCTGGCAGATAACTGCCTTGTTCCAAACACAGAATTGATGCTTGTTGAGTAAATAAATGGTGATTTGTTCTTGAGCATGAGCAAAATGCCTCCAGGAGACTCCAATAAATACTGGGGGTTGGAAGTCCTTTACAAGAAGCAGGTCTTCTGTAAACCAGTGATGTTTCCTCTGCGAGTGAAGCTGGACTCCTGTTTGGCCAAAAACTTTGTGAGGCTGGGAAAGCTTAGGATGCTTCTATAAATTAAGATGATCTAGATCCCCATGTTTCAACCCTTGTTTAGCTATAGAATCTTGTTAAGCATAAACTCTACATTTATAACAGATAGAAGTGGAGCTTCTCTGGATGGAGAAACCTGGAACGTACCCTCTTTAAATCCCTACCTACACACAAGGACCCATAGATTGCAGTTTCAAAACACTGGCCGACAGATCGATTCTGGCCTGATTATCTAAATCCTATGAACAGGTTGAAGTGTTTTCCCTTACCATACCTGATCCTAAAGTTAAAACTTTGATTCAAGGATTTCCCAATCAAATTTTAGAAGGTTCCTCAATCTGTTCTTGGCTTCATGTAGAAAAAAAAAAACACTACCAAGTTCAAGCTCCAGAGATTGAACACTAAGACAAATGCTATAATATAGTCTGTCATTTAACATCAACTTTGCTTTGAGTCTTCCAGTTTTCAAGGTGAATGTATGAGGGATCAAAGTTCTACTTAAGGGGGGGAAATGTCACCTCTGTAAGACCCCATCATTAAAATGTCACATCATGGTACATAAGACTTAGGGAATGCATTAGAGGTTGGAATGGGTTTCATTTGATCACTTTCTTTTAATGTTGTTTCTATCATTCAATTAATTGGTAATTTCACGGATAGAGTTTCATTTGATAAAATGTTTGGGTTTTCTAACAGAGTCCAAGATCATGGTGAATACTTCGTTTTTCCTTTTTCTTCTCTCTTTCTTCATTCCTTTTTCTTTTGCAATAGTTTTATTGAAATAATAATTCACATGCCATATGATTCACCTATTTGAAGTATGCAATTCAATGGTTTTTAGTATACTCATAGAGTTGTGCAACTATTATGACAGTCATTTTTTAGAACATTTTACATCACTTTGAAAGGAAGCCCCTGAGGCGCCAGGGTGGCTCAGTAAGTTAAGTGTCCAATCCCTGGTTTCAGCTCAGGTCATGATCTCATTGTTTGTGAGTTTGAGCAAGCCCTGCATTGGGCTCTACGCTAACAGTGTGGAGCCTTCTTTTGATTCCTTCTCTTCCTCTCCTCTCCTCTCCTTTCCTCTCTTCTCTCTCTCAAAAATAAATGAATAAAAATTTAAAAGGAAGCCCCATATCTTTTCAGCTATCATCCACTCCTGCTCTCTACCACCCTAGGTAGTGACTAATCTACTCTTCATCTCTAGAGATTTGTCTATTCTGGACATTTCATATAAATGGAGTCACATGGTTTATGGTCTTTTGTGACTAGCTTCTTAGCACAACATTTTCAAGGCTCATTGATGATATAGCATGTAATCAGTACTTCATTCCTTCTTATGACTGAATAATACTCCATTGTATGAATAACCATATTTTGTTTATCCATTCATCAATGGATGTTTGGATTGTTTCTACATTTTTTGACTATTGTAAAAAATGCTGCTATGAATATTGTGTACAAGTTTTTCCATAGACTTATGTTTTCATTTCTCTTGAGTATTTACGTAGGAATGAAAACTGCTGGGTCAAATGTTAATTCTATGTTTAACCATTTGAGAAACTGCTACCAGCAGTGTATGAGGGTTGCAATTTCTCCATCTCCTCACCAATATTTGTTATCTGACTTTTTTATTATTACCATTCTAGTGAGTGTGATGTTATATCTCATGGTTTTGATTTGCATTTCCCTGATGACTAATGATGTTAGGCATCTTTTCATGTACTTCTTGGCCATTTGTACATCTCCTCTGGAGAAATGTCTATTCAGATACTTTGCCCATTTTTAATCGGGCTGTTCACTTTTTATTATTGAGCTCTAAGGGTCTTTTACATATTTTTTTTGGAAGAGAGAGAGAGAGAGAGAGAGAGCGAGCATGCAAGCAGTTGAGGGGCAGAGAGAGGAAGAGAGATATCCCCAGCAGGCTTGGCTCTGTCAGCATGGAGCCCAACGAATGCCTTGACTCCAAGATCATGAGATCATGACTTAAGCTGAAATGAAGAGTTGGATGCTTAATCACCTGAGCCACACAGGTGCCCCAAGTGTCCTTTCTATAACCTAGATGCAAGGTTCTTATCAGATATATGATTTGCAAATATTGTCTCCCCTTCTGTGGGTTATCTTTCACCTTTTTGATAGTGTCCTTTGGAAGCACATAAGTTTTTCATTTTGATGAAGTCCAACTTATCCACTTTTTTCTTATCTTGTTTATATTTTTGATGTTTTATGTAAGAATCCATTTCCCAATCCAAGGTAACCAAGATTTATCCCTATGTTTTCTTGTGTGAATTTTATAGATTTGGCTCTTATATTTAAGCCTCTGATTCATTTGGAGTTAACTTTCATATATGATTAGTTTTGTTATCTCTTTCTTCTTTCACTCACTTTTAGATATCCAGAGGCGGACGAATCAATATCAAGACAACCTGACTGAATAACATGTAGAAATATTAATAAACTAGTTATTAGTATGTTGAAGAAGGGGAATATTGAGGGAATGGGGTTAATTGGGTTTATGTTTGTACGACATATTGTGTGATCTACATATCTAAAGTTTCCTGGGTAAAATTGTGGTCAAACAATATTCAGAATTTTATTTCCACTTCCTTGCAAATGAACACTTCTTCCATTTTACTTATTAATATTCATACCTTGTTTCCATTCTTGCTATACAAGCTGTTTTGAACAGAGCTGCTTACATAACCCAGCTTTTGTTCTTCATTAAAAAAAATCTGCTTTCTCCACAGGCATGCATACACACACACACACACACACACAGTGCTACCTGTTCCAATATGCTCATGTGTTTGCTGGCACAGATGTCTTTACAATTCACCTCTTCTCGTCACTCACCTTTTAAGTTTTAGATACATCTGAAATTTCTTAGTTATTTCCACAGGCACATTTCAGCATGGGGCCAATCTGGACGATAAGAAAAAAACCCACAATGGTAAGGAAGGGCAAGATAACACACTAGAGTATTTAGTCATTCCTTTGTGTTTTAGTATAGAAATGTCAGATTTAGCCATGGAGTAAGTATAATGCATACTTATCACATCGGGATGCTAAACACAGACACTGCATTCACTCTGTGCTTAGAGTGAGATGCGGTTCATGGAAAATGCAGGTTTTGCATTTTTCCAACAAAATAAGTGAGTGGGGGTGGGAGGAGACTGGCATTCTGATGATTATTTCAGAATACTAATGTCTACAGAAGCCCTAGCAGTGTTGGCTGGTCTCCATCGCATTATGTGGACAGAAAACTGAGGGTTTCCCCTTTCCCTTTAGATGTCTTTTATGGCAGCAGCCTAACAGGTACTTTCAATCAACCAACAAGAAATTCTTTTGCCCCTCTAAGAAGAAAACATTATCTGGATGCTCAAGGAGAGCCAGTCCAGGAAAACTAAAACAATATTCATGAAGAGACTGGAGGACAATTAAGTATCAGATCATGTGATCCTGGATATAAGGTCCAAAGAAGTACAATGAGGAGGGAGGTCAGTGAGCCTTGGTGGTGGGAGTGGTGGAGGAGTCATAAAGCTTTCATGGAGTATGTAGGTTGGGATTGGGTTGTGGAGAATGAAAACAATTTTTAACATTAAAGGGGGAGGGGAGAAGGGCTACACCATATGTGAGGGATAAGGACAGAAACTAAGCCTGATGATGGACCAGGCACCAGCCTAGGCCTGGTTACAATCTCTTTTAGACTGTTGAACAATTCTGAAAGGGGGTGTGAGAAGTATCCCTTCGAGGAGTTTAATTACTTGGTCCTGGCCACACAGCTTCTAAACAGTAACATAATGTTTGGATCAAAAGGTCTAGAATTGCTTCCCCAGCGACACACTTTATAGCTGCTGTCCTGTAGGGACGGAGACTAGAGCGATGATCAGTGTTCCCTGCATCGGGTCTGGTTCCTCCCTATCGCTCTGTCTCTCTGACCTACCAAGCAACACAGAGACTGAAAACCTCTGTTTCAGATCAGTGGGTTCCCAACTTGCAGATTCTTAGAATCATCTCAGGAGTTCAAACAAACAAACAAACAAACAAACAAACAGGATCTATCTCTAGACCACACTCTGGACCTAATGAAACTGAATATCCAGAGATCATTTCCAATTGTCCTCCAGCACTTCATATATTACCATGGAAAAGTAGGCCAAGGGATAAATGTCTGTCAAATGGATAATTAATACATTAGCTCAAATCATTGTTTAATCTAGTGATTTGATGACTAGATTTTTTGAGTTTCTTGTTTGCCTTGGTTTGTTTCTTCCGTATTATACCTTGGTCATTCTTTTGGGGAAATATCTGTTTCTGGGTGATAAACATGAGGACTGATGGTCTTTTCCCAGTCTGGAGTCCATCCATTTGGAGTGAACCCAAAGTGCATTTGACCAGCACTTACACAAAGGCAGATGTGGGGCACCTGGGTGGCTCAATCATTTAGGCATCTGACTCTTGCTTTTGGCTCAGGTCATGATCTCATGGTTCATGAGATCGAGCCCTGTGTTGGGTTCTGCAATGACAGTGCAGGACCTGCTTGGGATCCTCTCTCTCTCTCTCTCTTTCTGCCCCCATCTCTCTCCCTCTCTCAAAATAAATACATAAACTTAATTTTTTAAAAAAGAAAGAAAGGCAGATGCATGTCTCTTGGCACTGTGGAAAGATCCACACACCAACTTGCTTTGCAATCCTGGCTCTTCGATCATCCTAATCTAACCCAATTGTGTTAAAACCAGCCTTGACATTTTCTATTTTCCCAGACTAAACATCAGCGTTTTGTATCCTCTTTACAGTTGTCCCATGTACTAGAAAGGTGGTTTTCTAGTTTTCTTGCTGATTTTCCTAAACAGGCAAATCAACAGAGAGTTGGAATAGGGTAGAAGATGGGAGTTTAGCAAGTAAGCATACTCAGTCTTTATTAATTCCATTTGAAATGTGATTTAATGTCAAGTTTTAGATGTGTTTAGGGTTGTATTGTGTCCAGCAGGTTGATTTAAACATTGCTTGATTTGGTTGCAAATTGAAGTGCTTGATAAAGTGGTGCTGTGATTTTTCCATCACTTTTCTTTCTGCATCCATCCACTTTACCATACTACCAAGGCTTCCCACTGCTTCATCCAGATCTCATGTAGACATATGATTGGAGATATGTGGCAACGTGATTAGAATTACTGGAGCTCTCCAAGTTTAAGAGTGCTTCAGTCATAGACATAATTAATTAGTGTAATAAAAACAGGAAAAGTCTAAATGAGATTTACCTCCCTTTAGTATCCAGTGGATCTCAGATGATATTTCAGTTTTGGTTCATTTTCCTTTCTGCATTTATTATTCCATTATTACAAAATGTCACTTTGCCTATAAAATATTTTACCTTGCTGTCAAGTTTTATTTGGTTCAGGTTTTAAGTCAGAAGCATTTGCTGCTGAACACTCCTGTCTGTGCCAAAGGAATTTTCCAAGCTACAATGTTTGTTAGTTTTGTAAATACACACATTGTTTCTAAGGTAGTTTGGGAACAACATTCGCTTAAAAAAAAACTACATACTGAAGCAAAAGACACACATTCACAATGTGACTCAGGTCTGATGGGAACATTCCTTATCGTATAAGCTGAGCTTTAAAAAATTACTTTTAGAATTGATTTAGGTGGAAGAAAAAAGGCAAATAATCTATGCCATTCATGGGACAGTAGTCACTAGGGAGAAGAGCAAACTGTTTGAAGCAAAAAGAAAAGAGTTCCTTAAAAGCTTTGACATGCATGAGATGATTCAGTTTTGCCACATTAGCCTGGTCTGCTCCATTTTCCCACCCACCATTTCAATTTTAGTGACCTTTTCCTTATCATCGGGCTTTCAAACCCATCATCCAAATTTCCAGCTTCTTCTCCTGCCTGTAAAACACCAGCCAACCTGGTGGAAGCTTCAACTCTTGCCCTTTCCTCTTACTGCTTCTTCCTAAATAGAAACTCTTCATTAAATTAGTTCTCTCCATCTAGTTTGACAGGCAACAGCCTGTTACCAGGGGCATATCCCTTCCTTTTATACAGTCTTCGAAAGGGACTGTATTGCCATGAGAAACAGTTTTTATTTTAAAAAAAAATCCAATAGGAACTCTGGTTAATTGATGCATTCAGTATGTTTTAGTTTATGCCCATAAGATTTGTATGACCAAATTTAATGTTCTATCTACAATCTACCAGATTGCTTTTACCATAAAATAAGCCTTCTTTATTGCTGATGTTTGCAGTGTGCATTCCTTATGCAGTGCATAAGAAGAGACATGAATTATTTTTTTAAGAAAGCCAGTGATTCTCATATAAATTGAGTTTTCAAGTGTTTTGTCAATAGACAAGATAGCTTGCCATCACCTATAAGGACATTGGCACTTTTGATAAGAGCATAAATGAGTTAATAGATTTAACTTATTTTCAGGGAAGAGGATTTACCTTAATGAGGTTTTGCTTTTGCTAAATTCATTATGGATGGGATTCCTACCACAGCTCTGGATGTGCTGCTTAGCCCACCCTTTAGAATGTGTCATAATGGCCACTGTCAGCTTTCAGTAAAGACAAAAGATGAGCACCAATGACGTATGGTGAGTGCCACACTGATCTGTATGTACTTGTGGACTATCTCTGTTTCAGACTCCATTGCTGTCAACCGAGTTGCATTAGAGATTGTTCATTATGACTAAATAACTGTATTTTAAGTTGCATACAACCCTACTGTATGAATAAAGGCTAATAAAGAACCAATGGAGAAGGAAACTCCCAAATTAAGTCACTAAAAATATTCTACATTTTTTGTTAACGTAAACTAAAATCGAGGCCTTCCGATGAAGCATCAGTCAACTTTTCACTGAAAAGTGAGCATGCGGGCTTGGAAATCATCTCACTTGGTCATAACCAATGCCCAACAGTGAGAACAGATAATATCAGCAGGACAATGGGAAGAAGTGTGGTTCCAGCTGAAGGGAGGGAAAGAGGCTGAGAAGACTTTAATATCACACAAAAAATAAATCATGGGCAAAATAATGGGCTCACGTGTAATTGCTCTGTGACCCTGTTCTTGCATTTAGATCATCCCTCAATACATTAGACCTCTGGACCAAAAGGGAAGGGGAAGGTTAGGGGACAACAATATTTTCAGGTGGTCCCTGCCAGGAGGAAATGCAGTAACTTTACAGTTGAGTTCAAAAGCCAGGAGGCAGCAGACATCCCTGATTCAGCCACATAGATAGCCCTTTCATGGCGATTTGCAAAGGTGGGTTTTTGTACTGGGTCCAATTGTCTTGATAAATAGTGCAGCTGATAAAAGCCTCCTGGCAAGGATCTTGCAGTAATTGAATAGATTCCCAGGCTGGCTGCCATTTGGGAATATAGTCCCAGACACCTGTGTTGCAGGGCCACTGGGCAGCTCACCCTGGTCAGGAGTACCTCCTGGCTCTCAGAGCCAGAGGCTGCATTCTCACTTTAAAGGAGTCTCATTTCCCCCATTTTCCAAGAACATGGGTCTTCAGCTGTAGTGTGCCTGGGAATCCACTGAGCTTGGTTCACTCCAATTCTCCCGTGCACAGAACGGACTGTGATTTAATGTGGATTTTCATTTCTGCCTCAACAGAATGGATTTCCTGCATGAATCACCTTATTGTGGTTTTATCCTGGGCCACTTAGCCAAGTTATAAATGATCTTTAGAGGCATGAGATAAATCTTCTGCCCCTTTGATTCGCCGATTCTATGAACCGAAAAAGCTTAGGCTTATTTAGCAATCTATTTCCAGAGACGCCAACAAGATTTTTGGTAAGTTGACGGCAGAAGACGGATGGGCGGTTTCGGGGCAGAGTCTATGAAATGGCTCGTGCGAGAATTCCTTGTATTCCCTGCCCTGTCATTCATCTTCCCAAATTCCCTTAGCAGATCTTCTTCCATCTCCAAATTCATGCTGTGAGTAGGACTTTATCTTTTCAAAGTTGCGACCCTATTCCTAAAACCACCTTGAAACAGGTTCCTCTGAGTACCAACTGGAGCATACCTCCCTTGTTGGTATGGCATTTCTGGGCAAGATGGGCCAAAGTAGGCTCCACAAACTTCTAGGATCAGCCTCATTAACTAGATGCAGCTATCAGGGTTCTATTTTTCCTTCCTCTCTCTCTACACGAAGAAACAAACAAAAAGCAGAGGGATTGCATTTCAGGCACGTGCCTTCAGAACAGATCTTCGATTTTTTTCGTTCACCCTCCGCCAGTCCTTCAAATCAATGTCTTATTTTGGGAATGTTCCTAGTTGTTCCAGGTGGTTCACAAAGAGTAGATTTCCTGGGTGAGCATATGAGCAGTCCCCCTGATGACAGGGGCCCTGTAGGCTCTTGGAGCTCTGCTCAGGACTGGCCTTGCTCGTCTGCATGAGATTACTCTGATTTTCTCTCCACTGCACGTTCCCTTCCCAGAACCCGGCATTCCTGTAATCTGTCCTTGTCAGGATTTGGCACTGAAATATATAGGTAAATATCCAGAGGCAGCAGCCAGCTAAGGAGCATGACTAATTCCTCCTTGCTCACTGGAGACCTCTGCCTGGGACTCAACATGTCACCTGGTAAGTTTGTCTTTTTGTGAGAGGATAAGTGCCACCAGAGGCAGTTGGGAGTCTTCCTCAACAGGTTGACTTTAATTTCTAATGACGGTTTTCAGAGACATCCTGGCCCTCAGCTAGATACCAGGAGGAGGACATGAGGTAGACCCTCTGATGTGGGTTTATGGATATGCTCTCTTGGTCTTTCTACGATAACAATGTGTGCCCATTTCATACATCAGTGCCTCTTCAAAGTGATGACCAATACCCCAAGAGAAACCTTAATTGGATGAAAGTTATCAGCTGCAAAGCCCAGAAGTTCATTTCCCTGGCAAGATGGAAATTTGACAGTAGTTTAAAACTTTTTTTTTTAAGTATAGGCATATGAGCAGTTGCAAAAAATAGTACAGAGTGGTCCCATGTTCTCATTACTCGGCTTCCCCCCAATGATACCATCTTTTCTAATATTACATTATCACAATTAGGACATTGGCAATATTTTCATGGCAAGGGAGAATAAGCATCAAAAAGCTTCAAATGTACACTTAGTATGTAGATTTTGGGTCCAAATTTATTTATTTACTTAAAGAATGGCTATAGGAGTGCCTAGATGGCTTAATTGGTGGAGTGTGAGACTCTTCATCTCAGGGTTGTGAGTCTGAGCCCCACATTCTGTGTAAAGGTTACTTAAAAATTACAATCTTTAAAAAATGGCTACAAATTAGTCACATGAGGACACACCATTTGCTCTAAAAAACTTCCCTTTAAAAGACATGCCAGGCTATTTTGACCTCTACTCCCATACAGAAAAGATTCTTTGCAAAAAGTGGTGCACTATTCAGAAGGAGACTTTCAAAAATAAGGACCTTCAAACACTCTAAGTTACCTTTACAAATAACTCATGAGGTCATTCCTGGCATCTTTTTATGGGGCCCAATTCTCCAGATATCTTGGCCACTATGTTGGCTGAATAAAGCTCAGGAATAATGGAAGAGCCAGTCTTCTTGGTAAACATGTACCGAGGATGGGTTGGCAGAATGTGGTTGACATTTATTTATTACATAGGAGCCAAGAGCTCAGCTCCTGAACTCAGACAAGACAGGTTCAAGTCCTAGCCTTGCCCCTCATCAGAAAGTTGACTTTGGACAAGTTATTTGACTGCTCTGAGCCTTAGTATTCTTGAGTGTAAAATGAGGATGACATAGTATCTGAGAAATTAGTGCCAATTGATTAGAAAATCTCAGGTATATAGTAGGTGCACAATAAATTTAGCTGTTGTTATGAATAATCATTTCCAACTAGGGTATTCTGGGAAATAATTTTTATTTCATTCAGTTTTTTAAAGTTGGTGCAGATAATTTGTGAAATCTTTCTCAGTCTTATGGTATGAAAAATAGCTGGAGGAGATTTACTGTTTCTCATATTTGGAAAACCATTTAGATTTCCATTGCAGTTATTATTTTCAAATAGTAATTGCTCAATATCCCATCATGCATTATAAATCATTGTATAACTTCCAGATTAACTGTTTGTTGAAAAGGTATGTGCATAATAGAATAGTCTAAAATTGGATCAAAACACAGTCATAGGATTTTCAAGTCTAAAGTTAATATAACCTAGGTCTTTATAACTAACTTAAAGTTGATGCATCTAGATCCATAGTTACCTGGACATTAATTTCTTCAAGAAGGTAACAGATATGGCTCAGTTGTTTAAGTGTCCGACTTCGGCTCAGGTCATGAACTTGTGGTTGGTGAGTTTGAGTTCCGCATCAGGCTCAGAGCCTGGAGCCTGCTTCAGATTCTGTGTCTCCTTCTCTCTCTGCCCCATCCTCGCTCATATTCCCTCTCTTTCTCTCTCTCTCTCTTTCAAAATAAACATTAAAATAAAAAGACGGTAACAGATACCATTGGAAATGTTTGTAACAATTAGTCAAACATTAAGGAACATTAATTGTTTTTGAAAAAATGTGTATTTGTTGTGAAGAGTAGATCTGTTACCATGGTTGCCTGTGTCTTGTTTATAATCGTAGGTTTTCTGTTCCTAGGAGTTAGAGTAGTTTAGGAACCAATAGCGAATCTACCCTTTCAACATCAGCCCTACTTCAGTTGATAATTAATTAATAAGTCACTGAAAATTGCATGTAAATAATTTCTAGCTTTATATTTTAGAGTGGATGGAGAAGCCTTGCACTGCATCTCCAAAATATGTTTACACTTCTTTTTAAACAGAATATTAGACTCCCATTAATGTTGGCATAAATTAGTAGCATGAAAAAAAATCTCAAATTTTTTTCTGAAGAATTATCAACAAACAGTGTTGGGAAAATGAAAGGAGCCTTAATTGTTATGAGGTTTCGTTGCCAGATAATGTGATGCTTTGTAAACAAAGACTGCTTTATAGATATCCAGCACAAAAGGCAGATTTCTCGGATTAGAAATATGTCCTTTTAGGGTTTGTATTTCAAAACCTGACACCTCATAAGTAACTGTAGTCTTTTGGCTTCTTATATGGAGAACCAGCCCAAGGGAACTCAGTGCCAGAAAAGGGCACTAATGCCCAGGACCAAAACCCAATCTTCTGTATCAAATGATCATTAGCAATGTGTATCTGTGCTTTCTTGGTTTTCCTCTTTTGGGGAGATGGAGCAGACAAAGTTGCTGCCTTGAAATTTCTGTGACTTGTGTTTTCAGCATACTGGAAACATTAGAAAAGATCTGTGTCCACTTGGATTCTAACACTGCAGACAAATAGAAGAAACCTGAGGCTATCAGCAAGACTTTCTGGGTAAACACCTAGAAAGATTGGTTCATCAACACCATCAACACAAGGAAAGGATAGAATTTTTAAAGAAAATGTAAGTTAATATCTCATATCTGGATATGCAACTACTTTCTAAGCATAAAATAAGCGATGGACAGAATCACAAAGAGAATATATTTTACTGCTTAAAAATAAAAAATGTCACAAATTCAAATATCATAAATACAATTATATGACAAACAGGAGCAATATTTAGCCGCCAATAGGCACAGAAAAACCAAATTATTTTTAATATTTAACAAGTTTATATTTTATTTTTTTAATGTTTTTTAATTTATTTCTGAGAGAGAGAGAGAGACAGTGTGAGCAGGGGAGGGTCAGAGAGAGAGGGAGATACAGAATTGGAAACAGGCTCCAGGCTCTGAGCTAGCCATCAGCAGAGAGCCTGATGCAGGCTCGAACCCACAAACCATGTGATCATGACTTGAGCTGAAGTTGGATGCTTAACCAACTGAGCCATCTAGGTGTCCCAACAAGTTCATATTTTAAAAAGAGAAGAGTCACTAAGTAGCAAATGATAGAGACAATTTACACTAGAAGAGAGATAACTAGCTAATCCTATAAAATGAAAGCACCTAATGTTGCTAGTATTAAAATAATGAAACTTAGAAACAACAAGATATAGTCTTTTCCTTCATGAAATTAGCAAAGAATTAAAATACTAGGTATACAGCATTACCTTTCAGTGTTGTTCCTTCAGTATGGTGAAGGCCAGGGCTCTAGAGGTGAATCATCTGGATCACAAATCTAGTTGTACAACATTGGAAAATTTGTGTAAGTTCTTTGTCAGTCTATCATCTGTAAATAGGTATGAAATAACACCTACTTCATACTGGTATGGTTATGGTTAAATGATATGACACACATAGAGCATTTAGCACTGTGTCTGGTACATCAGACATCAACAACAACAACAAAAAAATGGTAGCTGCTATCAGCTACTATTACAGTCTCATTCACTGCTGGTAGAAGTTTAATCTACAAATTGCAATAAAAGCAGAAGGCAGTATGGCAATACTTAATCAAAAGCCTTAAAAATAGTCAAGTCTATTTTTAGGAGACCATTCCCAGAAAGTAATCTGTTGTGCACAAACATTATGTGTACATGATATGCACAAACACCATCTTTAGATGGTCATAAAGATAAAATATTCCAAATGATCTAAATGTTTGATAATAGAGAAGAAATGAATTTGACTTGATTACATGGCATCATTCTATGGTGGAATGCAACATGACTATGAAAATTATGTTTTTTAAGGAGGTTTTAATGACTGGCACATGCTTATGAAATAACGTGAAAGAAGCAGAATATGAAATTATATTTACAACACACCTCAATTATGTGAACATAGATATACATTAAAGCCATAAGTACAGAAAAATATGAAATAAACAACAAGTATTTTAGTGGCTGTTGTTTCTGGGCAGTGAGATTATAGGTATTTTTAAAAATATACTCTTCTGTGTTTACTTTTTCTATAGCGCAGCTGCGTCACTTTTTCTGCAATTAAGATGAAACCTGAATTCAGAAAAGAAGATTTGAGATGGCATAGTGGGACATATCATTTGTTCATCATAAAATTTAAAATGTTTTCAAAGCTCTCGGAGGAGAAACAAGAGGAAATAAATCTGTAAGAGACACAAACATAAACACATTTCTGTTTTGATCTGACTGATGCTTGTATGGGCTAAACTTGATCTCCACCCACAGGCGAGTTTTCATTTGTAACTAGTCAATCAGTTGATCCACTGATTTTTCGTTGCGGGCCTTCTCTATGCCAGGCACTGGGTCCTGCAAGGAAGACCATGTTGAGCAAAGGAGGACCTGTCTTTACCGTCACTGAACTCATGGTCAAGGGACGACACAGCAATTCCAGATCAAAGTCTCAACAAAGAAACTCGAGCCCTCATGTATTTAGAGATTTGTAAATTTGTTGGAGCTGTTCTTTAGTTTAAAAAATATATATAAAGGCCTGTTGTTTTGTGTGTCCATTATAAGGAATGTTTTCTAAAACCAAAAAGAAAAACAAGATGCCCCAAGTGTCTGAGATGCCGGCGTTGTAGACGTGGCTGGAGGAAAAGTTCGGGTGGGTCTCAAGGACGGAGTTGATGTGTGAGGACACAGGGTTGCCAGCTGTGCTCCAGGTCACAGAGAATGCCATTGTTTGTTCTTGGAAACTGTTGCTTTTGTTCACTGACTCCCCCACCCCGCCCCAGAGAGAGCACATAAACAGTCACAGTCCTGGCCTACTGTTTCTTTGTAAAGTGCCCTATTCCTCCTTGTTAGCATTTCTACCGTTTAGTGACCTTGATAAAGATAATTAAGCAAGCAATGAAAATAACTCAGAAGAAAGCAGGTTCATATGAAGTTTTAATGAGCTCCTTCTTCACTCTGCCCCGTATTAAATACACACTCACAAATTTGTATTTGTACATGTGCACATACACCTATATGCACTTATACTAAGGCAGACAGACTTTTTAGAAATGAAAACGTTGGCGCATATGGAGACATTTTTGTTAAGGGAGAAAATACACTATGCTATTAGTACACGAAAAAAATAAAACAAGAAGATTTATATAACTTGAGGGGGCCACAAAGGTTTTCTACAAATGTTATGATTATAATCCCCAGTAAAAGTAGATTGGAAAGATTTGTTTGAAATAATGGTTCAACTACCCACCACTCAGCCACCTGCAGCTTCTCCTTTGGGGAAAACAATCAAGAATGAGAAGATAATTCAAAAGTATAGCCAGAGTAGACACTTGACTAATGGCAGCCTCCCCCTCTCCCACTGGGCCCCCATTCTTCCTCATTTTATATACGTTTCTGACACACTACCTGTGGCTGTCAGCCTTCTAAGACCTCTGCAGATTAGACACAGGAGTCCTCCCAACTGCCTTGGTGTATTGATGGTAACCTGAAATAACAATTAAAAGCAAGGGGAAAAAAAATAAGAAAACCATAAAATGTGAGTGCAAAGATTCAAGAAATAAAGTTGCCTGGTTTCATGTACTATAGAGGAATAGTCCTCAGTGAGTCCTGAAGAACTGGCTGCTTATGTATGCTGTACCTACGTAATATATGCCGTACAGGACACATTTCACATGTATTGTGCTAAATGTTTCTTTTTTCATTTTTAAAAAAAATAAACTGTCTGCCCAACATGGGGCTCAAACTCCAAGATCAAGAGTTGCATGTTATACCAACCGAGCCAGCCAGGCGCCCCAAGGACTGTGCTCAGACTTAAAGAAATGTTTAAATGGTATTCTGTATACTCAGTTGAAGTTAGACTAGTGGGAAATTTATCTTATCATATTGTCCTTTTAAAAATATCTTAAAACAGGGGCGCCTGGGTGGCTTAGTCGGTTAAGCGTCCGACTTTCGCTTAGGTCATGATCTCGCGGTTCGTGGGTTCGAGCCCCGCGTCGGGCTCTGTGCTGACTGCCGGCTCAGAGCCTGGAGCCTGTTTCAGTCTGTGACTCCCTCTCTCTCTGACCCTCCCCTGCTCACGCTCTCTCTCTCGCCTAGAAATAAGTAAANAAAAAAAAAAAAAAAAAAAAAAAAAAAAAAAAAAAACATTAAAAATATCTTAAAACAAGTGAGTTTAAGGGAGCAAGCTTTTGACTCTATCAAAACAATAACAACAAAAAAATCTCACTTAAAATAAAAAACAGAGAACTCATTTCAGGAGTTCACATACGCATGCATACCCAAACGCATATATTCCTATATAATAATTAGCTGCACTTCAGTAAAATGCTTTCCTTTGTGATTCAAACTAGATTAAAAAAAACACTGCTTTGGTTTAGAAAAAAGGTTTTTGAAAATTTCCACAGGGAACAAGCAATACATTTCTTTAAACTCTGGATATCAATGTAATTACTTCAAAAGACAGATCAATGTGGCTCGACTTTTGAATATCTAATATAACTACCACCCATTCCTCCCAGAAGAGATTCATTTCATTGCATTCTATAAAATACATTTATTTTCCCCATTCTACAAAGCTCAAACTGCTTTCCAAATATTCTATTACACATAGGGTTGAATCTGCCACTCTGATTTTTTCTTGCAGTGATGGTAACATAGGAAAAATTCATCTGGAGATTTTATAGTGAAGCCTATAACTCTTGATCTTCAAGATACAAGCTATAGGAAGCTGGAAAAAAAAAAAAAAGGTTTCTGAACATCAAGCACTTGTCACCTGGGGTTTCTTGCCACTAGACAGATTTAGAGCAATCTAAATCTATTTCTCAGTTTTGCATAAAGACCAACTTGAGTGTATGTTAGGAAATCAGACTCAGGCTCCTACTTCATCCCTGCTGTTCTGATACCCTAATTGTGAAGTGTGGCCGTGTGGCCTAGGAATGTGGATTTTTGCTGGTACTCCTGGTGGTGAGTGAATTAATCGTTGAGAAGCCCTCTTAAACCCAAAACTATTTGAACAGGCTTTCCATTCCTCTTTTACTGGTTCTTTGTTTTCTTTATCAAGCACACTGGGATTTTAATATAAGATACTTACCTGTTTTCAAGTTTAAAATGATCCTCTCCTGGGGCGCCTGGGTGGCTTAGTCGGTTAAGCGTCCGACTTTCTCTTAGGTCATGATCTCGCGGTTCGTGGGTTCGAGCCCCGCGTCGGGCTCTGTGCTGACTGCCAGCTAGGAGCCTGGAGCCTGTTTCAGCCTGTGACTCCCTCTCTCTCTGACCCTCCCCTGCTCACGCTGTCTCTCCCTCTCTCTCTCTCTCTCCTAGAAATAAATAAAACATTTTTAAAAAGTAAATAAAAAATAAATTAAAAAAATAAAATGATCCTCTCCTTTAGCTTTGACCTTGCTAAATCAAAAGTATTCATCCCTTGATAGCTTTGTTGGTCTTGACTACACCACCTAGTGTGAAGAGAAGTAATTGCAGGTTCTTTTGAAAATGCAAAATGACTCGAATGTTTGTCTGACTCGATAGAGATTTAGCAACCAGACTTTTCTAGCCACTATTTCAATGAGATATGGCCTCCCTATAATTTCTCTAAGGCAGCATTAAATCTTAAGCATGTAGCAACTATATATGGGATCAAATATTTAAAATTACTCATTATTGTGGGAACAAATATTTTGTTTAGGGTAAAATTTTGTAAATACTTAGACTGCATTCCATCATTTTGTATATAATACATGTATATTTATGGTACATTGGCACTTTTGTATAGTCTGCATTTTCAACACACGTACAATTTTGCGTATTTTGGATTTAGGGCAGAGTGTCAGTTAACCTTCTGAATTATTACCAACGTTGGCATTTGGGTCTTTGCATTTGAGATAAGATTGGTGGTCAAAAAAAATCATTTGCTTTGCACTTGGTCAGCATTATAATTCCCAGCTTTCATGTTATTCCTTTTCCTTGGTGACAATTTGTTGGGTAATGTGGCACACTCTGGTTTTAAAAACAGGCTGCCTTTATAAGGCATAGAGGAAAATTACTGCTTTAAAAAGCTTACTTGACAAATGACACCGGGCAGAAAGCTTAATTTTATGCTGATTATGAAGCTACTAACATAAATGGATAGTATAGCATTTCCTGTACTAAGATTTCATGAATTTAATAGGAGAGGCTAAGTTCTGTCCTTATTCCACCCAAAACTGTAAATTAGAAGTGCATCTTGGTACATATTTCCCAAACTATGCCTTAATTTAAAAAAAATAAATGGAAAAATATGATAAATGTGATGTTATAAACAAATATATATCATACACATGATATTAGAAATAAAATTGATGCTATAAAGAAAGAAGAACATCCCCCCCTTTCTTCCCTCCTATTTGTGAGGCATAATCATATCTCAGGTTGTCTCAATTAATTGCTGCCCAGAGCCTGACTGTGGTCACAGATGGATGCTTTGCAAAACAGTTAGCAATCCATTTACAGATGCCCCAAAAGGGGAAAATGTTATTCACTGAATTAAAAGAACTGCCTAGGAAAGCAGAGCAGCATCCTTTGTAGTGGAAAGGGTGAGGTGAACAGCCAGCAATGTGTCTGCTGCTTCTGGCTGTGGTATAGTAAGAGTATAGCCCACTCCAACAAAATTTGTCTCTCTATGCCATGACATCTGCAGCTGTCCTGTCTGCCATCTTAGCAGTTAGATCTTAGTTAGAATAAGTCACTCTGCACCTTTCAAAACTGTGTCCCCAGAACTCTACTTACTCTGAGAGTTTAAAAGTGTACTTAACAAAATGGCATCATGGTCAAATAACTCTTGGAACCATTGTATTCAACAATGTCAGCAATATTCTTAGTGTAGGATATTTCAGAATATCTAACTTCATTTATCTTTCTTTTCATTGAGTAGCTCATAAAACAAGTATTTCTAGGAACTTGCTTTAGGAAACGTTGGCTTCATAGGTTATTTTAACTCAGAAGTATGCACATATAGGTGTATGTTGTGCATGTGTATATTAAACACAAATTCAGAAAAACTGGACCATTGTTTTTTGTGCTCTGTAGTTTACCACATGGTTTGCTGTTAATTTGGTAATAGTGTTTTAAAAAATATTTTAGGGGCACCTGGGTGGCTCAGTTGGTTAAACATCCGACTTCGGCTTAGGTCATGATCTCATAGTTTGTGGGTCCAAGTCCCGCATCGGGCTCTGTGCTGACTCAAAGCCTGGAGCCTGCTTCAGACTGTTTCTCCTTCTCTCTCTGCTCCTCTCCTGCTTGTGCTCTGTCTCTCTATTTCCCTCAAAAATAAATAAACATTAAAATATTTTAAAATAGCCATTATAAAACAGAAATAATAATTTCACGGTGAGATCTAGAGCTAGGAATTGCTATGCAGAATATGGACTTTGTCTTTAAGACCTCAGCTGGGTGGGAACAGAAGCAGACATGCAAGAGATAGCTTCAGTATAATGCAAAGATGTGTTTGAGCTACTGCTACCGAATGCTCTGGGAAATCATAAAAATGGAAATCGTTCACTTCTTGGGCATATTTCTTCTGATGGAAAATAGGTCTTGGAGGAGCAAATGCTTGAGCTAAATATTGAAGAATACATAGGGTTAGGTGTTTCAAAGGATTCGAACAAGGAGGGGTATGTGCTTCAGGCAAAGGGACAGCCCGAGGCATAGAAGAGCTTATCCTATAGTAGGTGGGAAATTCTGTCTTATTAGGAAGTGAAAGGCAAAGATGAAACTGTTGGTAGGAAGGGTCCAGGTCATGGATGGAGTCTGGAAATGGTGGTTCTCAAAGATGTTGATACATGAAAACCAATCATTTTACTGAAAATATTGTCACCAGCACTACCTTCTCCACTCTGTTACTACCACTGCTATACTCTTCCATTTTTTAAGCATTGAAGCATTTCATTTATACAATACCATGCAATTCTTAATATAACCCTATAAGAGGAGATATTTTTACCTCCATATTTCACTTACAGATAAATGAAGATCAGAGTGGTTAAGGAATTTGCCCAAGGTGATGCAGCAAGCAAGATTTGAATCCAAGTATTCTAGTATCCTAGTGAAACTGACAGTATTCAAAATGACTTTTTATTCATTCCCTCAGTAAAATCATTTCAGAAATTAGTGATTTCTTTGAGTAGTCAAGACACTTCCTTTCTCTTACTTGCATTGTTTCTTTTTTGTTTTGGTTTGGTTTTTTAAAGTTACCTCCACCCTTTTTATACTTATGCATCCTCAAATAAATAGTGGCTTGGTGGGTTCTTGACACAGGGACTGTGGAATGCCCATGGTCCTATTCTGCATCTATATAGTTCCCCACATTTCCTACAGTTTTAAGACAGGCTTCTTGGGCTTTAGTGAGCTTTAATTTAGAGCACTTCTACAGGGTTGGAATTCCCTGATACTCTGAGCAAATGAAGAAAGTTAAAAACCTATCATCTCTAGGATGTCCTGTTACCCA